AGACTCTGTATCGCCTTCATAAGATACGAACCTGATGTGCTTGTTTCTCCTATGTTATCGATCTAACTCTTCAGATAGGAATCCTTCACCAAATCCTTTGAACAAGCCTCAAGCCAACCTGAAGCTCTGATACCACTTGTTGTGCACAGCAAAAATTTTGGCAGCACATCTGGTGCACAACAAGAGAGTAGATCTCAACTAAATCCCTGTTTCACAAAGAAAATAAGAACCGAAAGTGATATATCTCAACCAAGTGGGATATACACTCTTCCTCTCATCAGTTCTAGGATTGAATTGTCAAGGGAACCTAAATAAGCTATTATAAATCACAGCAAGACAAACTATTTTTATGTGGTTCGGCAAGTTTCCTACGTCCACGGGACAAGGAGGGGGGAGATCTACTATTAGAGAGAAAGAGTACAAACAGGATTTACAATCACACAAGATCTCACAAATAAAACCCTCAAACAAGATCTCAATTTCTCTCTCAAAAGGGATGCACAAATACTCTCAAAGTCGGCTCCAAATAGTGCTCAAAATCTCCTCCAAATCAGCTGAAAGTCCTCTGTACTTTGCTACAGCAGAACAAATATCCCTCTGTGTTTTGTTTTTCCTTAAACGCTGCCCCAAAAAACCCTAGCTGACATAGGGTGTTTATTTATAGGAGGAGGAACGAATATGGGTTGTCTCGAGTAAAGTAGGTGGGCCTAATACATCTTTACCCACTGCACGTGAAAACATCTTCACCTGTTGCACGTGAAACGGGTGGGCCCGCCCACCGTTCACAAGTACGCCGTCAAACTTATAAGTTTTAATCCAACCAACCAAAATAATTAAAGTATAAAAAGAACAATCTTACAACCTTTTATTAAATCGTTCTTCAAATCGATGAAGATGAAGATCCGTGAAGAAGCGGTATAGTGGTGTAAGCATTAGGGCACTCCTCACTAAATCAAACTCTAATGAAAAACTCACAGAGAAGAAGTTAAATGAAGTTCAGGGAATTTGATCTATTCTCTCTCTCTCTCTCTCTCTCTCTCTCTCTCTCTCTCTCTCTCTCTCTCTCTCTCTCTCTCTCTCACCCTAGAATAAAGATCTCACCTTTTTTTATATCTGCCTCATGGAACTTCTCTATTTTTCTTTTATTTATTATGATCTCCAACTCTCTTTAAATAGACTTTGATAGGACAAGAAAGAGATACTCAAATCTGAGTGTAAATAGGAGACTAAAAAGTTAATGAATGGTTGAGATTAAATCTTAAAAACTTGCAAAAATTATCAAAATGTCTCATAAACATCAATGGTGGATCACGACCATCGATGGTTCAACTGTAGCGATCGATGGTGCTGAATTGGTTTTCTGGATTTCTTCGATTTTCTCCTATAGCCATCAATAATGCTAACTCTTATTTCTATTTTTCTCTAATTAGTTCCTGTACCCATCGCTGGGATTTTTGTCCATCAATGGGTCATTGTTGACCATTAATGATTCAAATGCTAAAATCAATATTATGTTGATTTTTGCATCATTTTGAATGCACATCTTGCTCATAACTATTTATATCTAAAATATATCATCTCACAAAATATATCAGTTGTAAATAAATGTTTGTTATTAATCAAACAATGTATATTGCACTAACAACGTTCTTACAATAACAAACACTCATTTTGTACTAATATCTATTTAATATGATATAATACAGATAATACATGTATGAGAAGTGTATGAGGCAAAACTATGTGAAAACTAGGTTAAAAGCTGGTTTCAGCCGTTCTACCATCAATGGTTAGCATTGACTGTTAATTGTAAAAGAGCTCATCGATGATTAACATATGTCATCAATAAGTTTTACTCTAGAAATATTCATCGATGGGGTTCTCAACATTTGATGCGGCCTCAATACTATCGATGACCAAGAGTCACCATCGATGGCAACATTAGCTAATTAAATATTTTTAGATTTAATCATAGTTGTTCATCATTTATAATGTCTCCAAACTCTACCATATTTAGGACATCTCTTCCTGGCCTACTAGGGAATCTATATTATTGAGAGAGAGAGAGAGAGAGAGAGAGAGAGAGAGAGAGAGAGAGAACAGTAGGGGTTCTAGGGTTTGATTTGTAAGAGATCAAGTTGAAGATTTTAATCTCCGAAGCCTTGTCAAACTCTCACTCGTCACGCACAACATCTCGGGTTTGAACAAGGGGAGTTGCCTTTAGATTGATCTTGTTTACCGTTTTTATTGAGCTACACTTATATCCTTCGAGTGACAGTTTATTTTAACAAAAAGACTGTAAGATCTTTCTTGTATTCTAGGCTTAATTGAAATTTATTTGTTTTTGTTTTTGAACTTATTTGATAACATACTCAATCCAGTTGAATTGAAGATGGAGACTAGGGAGCTAAGAGTTACTCATTATGGGAGTTAGGTTAGGTAACAAGTTTCAGATAGATTCTAGGGTCCGGTTGTAGGCGTCTAAAAATGCCGATAGATATCCAAATACAATGAGTGTCATCTTCTAAAGTCGGAAGAGATTATCCAAAGCCAAAAGAAGTAAATGAACAGATGAAACAACATAGAAGAATAATGTGCATACCCGTGTTAAAATACACTGACGCGCGTTAACACAGCTGTAGACGGTAAAAAATACCTCTATGGGTCTACAGGGAATTTGTCTACGAGAAGAGTTCGCACGCC